TAAGACTTCTGTGGTGGGGTGTAATTCACTTTTACATGAACAAGGATATCTTCTAAGACTTCTGTGGTGGGGTGTAATTCACTTTTACATGAACAAGGATATCTTTAAGACTTCTGTTCTTCCAAAGTAGACAATGGGAACATCAGTAAATATTTATCTAAGGTGATCATTCAGTTATAGCAGATTGGGTAACTGAGGTACTATTGTGTGAAACGTTGGTAGCTGTTGGATTGGGAGAAAATGTGGAGTTTGGATAGGGAATGGTATTAGAACTGGTAGAAACAGCCAAGTGAGATTACTGGGATGATGTGGAAGAGGAAGACAAAACTGTGAAAAATAAAGTATTGGAAGTCAAAGTCGAAATACCAGCGAAGTTGAGGTGAAGTCCATATCATGTGCGATAAAATTAATGAGTGGCATTAGGTTTGTGTGTTGAAGTCCATCACGTGGGATAAAATTAGTGAGTGGCATTAGGTTTGTGTTGTTAATGAAGGCAAGTTTTATATTTTTGTGTTAAATTGATTTTTTGAACCTAATTGTTTTTCTAACATCACGTATGTTTTGTTGTTTGTTAGTTTTGTATTTTACATTATTCTGTTATAAGTTAAAAATGTATCTTTGGACAACCTTTGAATTTGTTTGTATTTCATGTAAGTAAATGTACATAATTTTAATTTAATATCAGTAAACTGTCTTGTTTTCATAATATAAACTAACTCGGGTTAACACTCAATGCAAATAGCATGAAAAGAAGAAATAACTAAGGCATTCTGGATACTAATGGCACATTTATAACTTGTTATTTCTCTTATTTTTTTTATAAATACGTTAAAGTATTTGCAGAAAATTACACAGCTTGTGCAATATAAAGGAAAAATAGTTTGTACCTTCTTATTGCATCCAGGATCTGCTACTGCTAAAGAGACTTTACCATTCTTCTGAAATAACAGGTGACTGGTTTAAATTCTCAAATGGTGTAAGCATTTTCTTCATAGTCCGATAACTTTCATTACCTGAAGATTTTAAATTGTCTTTAGAGATTTGACAACTTTAATCACCTGATGACAGAAGTCTTACAGGTAAACAGAAAACAATATTTAAATATACATCATTTTAAGGTTAAAGCTGCATTTATTTGTGGAACAACTTTTACTAGTTTCTTGTGGTCAAATAATAACGATTTCTGTCAAATCGACAAAACGTATTCAAAAATATAACAAATTCAGCATATACATCTACTTTTCAGACTAATAACTTAAACAGAAAGTTGTGAAACAACCTAAAAAAAAAAAAAGGTAGTCTTGAATAGCTCCTTTTTAATCACTAACTTTAGCAGGTGCTAGTGTATCAGTACATAAACAATGTGTTAATTTTGTCACACCAAGTGTGTTTTATAGATTTGATAAGACAGTTCATCTGAAGGGTGAGAATTGTCTTTATAGATTTGATAACTTTATTTATCTGAAGGGTGAGAATTGTCTTTATAGATTTGATAACTTTATTTATCTGAAGGGTGAGAACTGTCTTTATAGCTTTGATAACTTTATTTATCTGAAGGGTGAAAATAAAGTTATCAAATCTATAAAGACAATTCTCACCCTTCAGATAAATAGTTATCAAATCTATAAAGACAGTTCTCACCCTTCACGATAAATAAAG